GCTTTCGACGAAATACTAAAATAGAGATCTATCGACAAAGACTACTCACTTCTGCCCAACTTAATAGTATGAGATTGCCGCAGCTGATGCTCTCTGGTTACTTCAGTTTCCATTTTTAAAAGCGCTATATGTTGAGCCACCTCAGCTAGATTTGGCATGTAACATTTTTATCGGCAATCATGGGTCGATTCGCCGTGTAAGAGAAATAGTAACGTAAACAAAGCAAACGTTGCCACCGGCGGAAAAGAAATGCAGCCAAAATTTGGGAGCCACGTAAGAGAATTATACATATTAGATTATTATTTTAATGATTTTAGAGCCGTGGTGGCTCAGGGGAAAGAGCTCTCGCCTCCCAATGAGGAAACCCGGATTCGATCCCAGCGACTGCGGGTCGATTCGAATTCCGCACCCAAATCGCACCGACCACAGTGCTGACGTAAAATGTCCGCAATGGCAGCCGAATCATGGGTTTGAGTCCCTTTGCCGTCAGGCTAACCGAGGGAGGCTTTCATGGTTTTGTAAATTCAGGTGATTTCCCTCAAAAAGTCCTCCACGAAAGGCGATTTTCGCCCAATACTTGATAAATACTTGATAAAGGAGTTCCCTTGTCTTCTGCATTGGGTTCAAAATGACACGGAGTTGCACATGAGCAATCGTAAACCCAAAAATTTGGGTCGGCTGTTCAACGACGGTTATAAAATAAAAATAAAATTATTTCTTTTAAAATATATTAAACTCGCATTAGTTTATATTTCGTTTTTTAAAAAATGCAAAATTAAAGAACATTTAAATACTACAAATAGCAATCATTTACAAACTGAAGACAAATAATTATGTATGCAAAATAGATAAAGTTCGATGCCGGGCATAGTCGATTCAACCTTTCATCTCGATAAAATGAGTACCAAACATGCACTGGGCTGACCATCCAACCGGAACCTCTGCTCTTGCAATCCCGAGCCCTCTTTGTTCCGCAGCGCCACTCCAATTTAAAATAGATTTTAAAAAAATTCTACTGATGGAATATAATTTCAATTCTGATAATGAGTCTACTCATAATCTGTTCTGAAACTAACTGAATTATAAAATGGGAGTTATCTACATTTTTCTTCCAAATATTAAGTTTATTTATCGAAAATAAAACAACTCCTTGAAAAGAAGTTATTAAAAAAACTACGTGCCTTAATAAAAACGATTTAACAATACCAGGATTTTAAACTACACGAAAAAAACGCATTCTCTCACAATCAACAGAACTATTTGATTTTGAAAATCATTGATTGAGAAAAATTATTTTAAAAAAAACATTTTTGAAAAATAATTTTAAAAAAACTAAAAAGTATATATTAAAAAGCCAGAACTCATCATCAGCTCATTTTTATTATCACTATTTTGTTTCAATTCTATTTTGAGTGCTCCTCACACTATTGTACTTATATATATTATTTTGCTTTGGCTTTATTGATACAATCTTAGAAAGCACTCCTTTTAGCGGATGCAATCGTGTGAGCTAATGATGAAAGTATACCTTTTTAGTAATTAGTAATTATATATTTTCTATAATCATATTAATCGTTTTAGTGGTTATATTACTAAAACTGTTATNACATTATATATATATATCCAGGCTTCTATAAAGCTAAATTTGAAAAAAAAAAACCAGAAGATTAGCTCTATGCTTTAATTCCACTTTAACATTTCCATAAAAGATGTCTTCTTAGTTCTTAAAAAAAAATTTTTTTAAAGAATTATAACTTTAGTCTTTTAGAATTTAAAAACTGAATTGAATTGATCGCAATTTTTAATTTTAAGGAAAATTCGTTTGCAAGAAATAAAAAATGACGGCATGCGGGGTAGGTTGTTTTGATTTGATACTTATCCATTTCGTATTGTGTTGAAAATAGTTAAAAGTTATTGAATTGAAATAGTTTCGATTTGGACATTTAATTGTTTCATGTTGTGTCGAATTAGGGTTGATGCGTAGGAAATTATTGAAATGGTAAAATTGTGTTGTTTATGTTTGATATATATACTTTCGTTTTTAATAAGTACTAGTTTGAATTTATAGTGTTTGTATTTTCTGAACCACATATGCTTCAAAAATTGTTGGATTTGTTTGTGCTTATTAATATCTGAAAAGGAATATAAATTTAGTAATGGCTGAAAAGAAAGAGTTGGATAAGTTAAAAAAGCAACGCACCTCACATAGAGGACAAGTTACTTAATTACAAAAATTAAAACTTGTTTAGAAGAGCAGGGAATTGAAATCGATGAATTCGAAAGTCCGTTGGTCCAATTGCAAACCAAAGACGATCAAATCAATTCTTCAGATGTTAAAATCGAAAATCTTTTAGATATCGATGATATTGAATCAGAAATAGAAAAAATTGATGAATATAACGAAGAAATAGTTTTTACTACTGTTAAATTAAAAAACAAAATAAAATCGTTGCAATCGAATAGCGTGATTGAAAATAAATATAATAATGTGCAAGAAAATCCTGTGAATCATAGTGGATCAAATATAAGAGCAAAATTGCCTAAATTAAAAATTCAAACTTATTATGGCAATCCATCAGAGTATTTGAATTTCTGGAATCAATATGAAAATTCAATTGATAAAAATACTTCTCTCTCAGATGTTGAAAAATTTTCATATTTATTTACATGTCTTGGCGGTGAGGCACTTTCTTGCATTAAAGGTTTTGCGATAACAGAAAACAACTATAAACCAACTCTTCAATTCAAGATACATTCCGTCAAAAAGATGGGTTAATTAACGCCCATATGTCTAAACTGTTAAATATGACCCCTTTGAAAATTTCGTCTAATTTGCAGGAATTAAAGAATCTTTATTTTAAATGTCAAACTCAAATTCGTTCTCTTGAAAGTTTAGGTGTAAAATCGGAAACGTATTGTGTAATGCTTAGTGCAATCATTTTGAAACTATTTCCCAGTCATCTTATTTTAGAATTTAGTAAACAGCAAATTTCAAGTACTAATCATGATCTAAATCGGCGGTTTCTAACTGGCGGCCCGGGGGCCGCATCCGGCCCGCGAAGCCCTTTTTTGAGGCCGGCGGACTAAAATATATTAGTTGCAATTTTTTTGCAGACAATTTTCGTAAAAAATCTATATGGGTTTAAAATACTTTTCTCGTTTATAGAAACCTAATTTCTTCGTTTCTGTGAAATTTAACATACCAACGGTGCAAAAAAATTTATTTTCTCGGGTTTTGCATTTAAGAAAATATTTATTCAAATACAAAAATAATGTTGCTCTTTTTTATTTCATATTTTTTGGTATTTTGTGAGTATAATTCAGCATGTGTGCATCAGAAATTTTCTCGAAGAAATTCTCCAATTTAGCTTTTTGAAACCACTCATTTTGGATGAAAATACATTTGTAAATATATTTGTACACACACATTTGTAAATTTTTAATTTAAGATGTAAATATCTATTCTCTGGTGATTGTAGCAGATAAACCTCAATTTTTTCATTAAACATTTTGTGTGGTACTATGTAAGTTTTAATACCAAACTTTTTGAAGTTTTATATCTTAACAATTAGATATCTGTCGCACATTAACTGTTTAATACATAGGTGCACATTAAAGTTATTGTAGCCCGAACTTTTATCATTTATTCAATATCTTTTCAAATATTATTAGTAACAATTAAGTATTTTTAAAAATCTACTTCTTATTTTAATTTGTAATTCAATACTTTTGTTTTGTACAACTTGGTAAAAAGTTGACAGTAATATTTAATGTTCCTTCAAACATAAAAGAGTCCTACATGAAATTTTGATAAAGTTGCGGCCCGCCATTTGATTTGTGTCTTTAATTGTGGCCCCCGCCTCATGCAAGTTGGAAACCCCTGATCTAAATGAATTAATGAGATTTTTGCATAACGCTATCATCGCTATAGAGAGCTTTTCACTTGCTGGCGGTTTCCCCCCCCTTCGCCTCGCCTGGCGTCGAATTTCCAATCAAAACAATTTTCTCGTAAATATAACGGTGGCTTTCGGAATCGGAATAAATTTATATCCTCTGCGAAAGAATTGCTGACTAATGCAGCTTCAAATGGTTGTATATTTTGTAATCAAAATCATTTGAGTTCTTAATATGAGAATTTGAAAGCTCAAAATAAAAGAGAGAAATTATTACGCGAAAGAAGATGCTTATTATGTTGTAATGTTAATTGTTTTGTTAAAAATTGTAAAGGCCCCGCTTGTTCTTTTTGTAATGGTAGGCATGCCCGCGCAATATGTTTTAAATTAGAAAACTCTAAAAAGGATTAGGATGAGGGCGAGTCGGAAAAAAAAAACAAAATGAAGAGAAAAAATGAAATAAATTGTATCCACTTTTTCGAATCATTTAGGGAATAAAAATGGAGGGATTTTGTTGCAATGTGTAAAGGCAGAAATTGTTGGCTCTAATTCTTCGGATTTAATATTTTCGTTGTTTGATAATGGCTCTGAACGCACTTTTGTTAAAAAATGTGTTTCCGAAAGGTTAGGTTTAAAGGTTGTTGGGTTTGAAAAATTGAAAATTTATAGTTTTGGCGCTGAGAATCCTAAGTTGCAGGTTTGTTGCAAAGTGGAGGTTAAGTTGCGAAACATTATCGAAGGTAAGGAAGTCGTGATTGAGGCATTGAAGATGACGAAATTTCAAGAGCGCCAATTCATGTTCCTGATAAAAGTGTTTGCTCTGAGATGAAGGCTAGGTGACTTGAGTTGACGTTTAATACTAATGAGTTGTCCAGTGAATGTAGGATCTCGTAGTTAGTTGGATCGGATTATTATTGGGATTTGACTGAGAGATTTCAAAGGTTTAATTCATCTTTAGTTGCTCTTGAAACAGTTTTTGGATGGTCCCTTCAAGGTAGATGTGAAGGTTCAATTGAGTCCGCATCGTTTAATTTCGTTTTTAGTGAGAATGATTCAATCTCTTCGGAGCTTAGCCGCTTTTGGGAATTGGAAATAGAGACTTTAGGTATGAAAGAACAAGATCTTCTGAGGGAATTTAATGATTCGATTCAATTTGTTGACAACAGATATTGTGTTAAGTTGCCTTGGATAGAAGGGAAGCAAGAAAAGTTGGTGAGCAATAGGGAGGTGGCATTAAAACGTTTTAATAGTTTGGTCAAGAGGTTTAAGAGAGATCCATCTTTGTATAAGGAGTATCGGGAGGTTGTAGACGATTATCTTAAAGAGGGAATAGTTGAATTGTCAGATGATTTAATTAATGAATCTACATTTTATTTGCCCCACCATGCTGTCATTCGCGAAGATAAAACAAGTAGTCGCCTGAGAATAGTGTTTGATGGTACAGCTCATGCAGAGGAAGAATACTCACTCAATGATTGTCTTTATACTGGAATGAACTTATATCCTAACTTGTTCGAGCTTTTGTTGCGATTTAGACAAAATGCTATAGCATATACAGCTGATGTTAAACATGCATATTTACAAATTTTGATAGACTCAGATGATCGACGATTTACCAAATTTTTCTGGATTGAAGACCTCAATTCTGACAAGCGTTGTGTACTAAACTTCACTAGAGTGCTATTTGGACTGAAACCAAGTCCTTACCTGCATGAAGCAACTCTTAAGTACCATTTTGAAAGGTACCAAAATTTGTTCCCAGAAACTTGTGAAGTGTTAAGAAATTCGTTTTGGGTCCATGATCTCGTTGGAGGAACTGATAATTTAGAAACGGCGCAGGAAAAACAGCACCGGAAGTGTAGAAATAATGAAGAAATCTGGAATGGTGCTTGGAAAATGGCAAACTAACTCGATACCACTCCATGAGATGTACAAAAGATCTGGCAGAGAAACTGATGACTCAAATGGCATAAGTGGAAATGGTGTACCAAGTAAAGTTCTAGGACTAGCTTGGAATCCTGATAAAGATATAATCTTTTTTGACGTCAGAAAGTTAAAAGACATTGATGTCAATGGTAGCAGTACCAAGCGATTTGTATTACACCTTCTGGGTCGCATTTTCGATCCCATTGGCTACGTTGGTCCTTTCATTACGAGACTGAAAATTCTTATCCAAGAATTGTTGGCTGCTAATATTGAACTTTCACCTTTACTGGACTACAAGTGGCAGTTGTGGTGCAGTGAAATCGAACATTTGAACAAGATATTCATTCCTAGACATTATTTTTCAGGATTAACATTATGTGATTTTATTTCATTTGATATTCTTTTTTCTTCAGATGCTTCCATGAATGCCTATGGCTGTGTGATCTACTTAAGAGGAATTACTCGAGAAAACCGAGTGATTACTAGCTTTATATGTTCCAAGAGTAGGGTTGCTCCTATTAAGTCTATCACATTGCCACGTTTAGAATTGTTAGGATGTTTATTGTTCGCTAGGTTAGTTAAACAAGTTAGTAAATGTTTAAAATTTAAACTACTCATCACTATTGGACAGATTCAACCATATGCATGTATTGGATTAAGAGAGAGGTTAATAACTACAAAACTTTTGTTAAAAATAGAGTAAATGAAATTCAAAATTTAACTGAACAAACCAAATGGTCTCATTGTCCTGGAAAAGAAAATCCTGCAGATATCCTTTCAAGGGGTATTTCTGCTTCGGACTTAGTCAAAAATTAGTTGTGGTGGTATGGACCACCTCGGCTGAATCAACCTAGTGAGTTTTGGCCTTGTAAAATTGAAAATGAGAAACCCATTGGAGATTTAGAATTAAGAAAAGAATGTGAAATTATCTCCCAATATAAATGTACAGTGCTTGATTCAGAATTTGTGTTAGATTTAAGTAAATATAGTAACTTAGATAGAGTGTTAAAAATTACAGTACTGGTTAAAAGATTCGTCAACAAGCTCAAAAAATTACCAGTTGAGTTGGGATCTTACACTGCAACTGAGTTCTCAGAAGCTGAGATGAACTGGATAAGGTATGAGCAAAGTCTTGTCTACTCTTCTGAATTGGAATGCATTAAAAATGGTAAACAGGTATCTAAAAAGTCGTCTCTTTATTATTTCGCCCCATTTTTAGATAAAAATAATGTTTTTTCGGGTAAGGGGAAGGCTAGAAGAAAATGAATTTTCAGATAGCGAGATTCATCCAATTCTTTTACCTAAAAAGTTAAAATTTACTGAATTACTAATTTCGAGAGAACATAAAAGGGTTTGTCACGGTGTGATGTCAGCTACCCTCGCAAAAATTCGCAGTGCATTTTGGATTCCGAAGGGTAGACAAATAGCGAAAAGTGTTTTAAAAAACTTGTCTCATATGCAAAAGGTACTTTTTGAAACCTGCAGAACAAATTACTGCACAATTACCAAAGACTAGAGTTTTTGAAAAAAACCCTTTTACTGTTACTGGAATTGATTTTACATTTCTGTTACTTTGTTACTTTTTTGTTCGTTCTGGTAAAGATATTAATCAAAAATCTTATATAACCTTGTTTACATGTGCTGTTACAAGGGCTGCTCATATTGAATTGGTAACTGATATGACAACAAAAAACTTTATTTTAACATAGTACAGATGGGGTGTGTTGAGAATATTCGTATAAAGAAGTGCTCGAGCAGCGCCCTCTATGTAACTGCAATATAAACGCATTATATCATGAGTGTCTGTGTTAATCTGTATATGTTTGTGTTACGTCCTAATAAATGTTTCCAAATGTAACAATTCGTTTGTCAATTCGAAAGTAATTAGTTTCGTAACACAGCCCATTGCATATTCCATCCAGTGCTCATACAATACACTATCTTTCACTCAAAATATTGGACTCAAAAATCTATACTGAATTCATGTTAAAATATTCCATATGTGTTTTTTTGTTTTTTTGATGCAACAAAAAAAAATATGTAAAATAAGAAGAATTTCTCAATTTACAGTAAAAAAAAATAGTTTTGAGAAATAAAAGAGTAAAAAACACATTTAAAAATACTACTTCAATGACTGTTTTTTTTTTGGTGCCGGTTTTTAAGGAATTTAGACTAGTGACATATTTTTATTATTTGTCACAAATATGTGTTTTTGTGTAATGCTAAAATGTTATTTCACCGATATTTTATGTACTTCTAAGCAATTGATTGAAATAATTTTCATAAAAATAACTGACAATAATTTCGTAATAAATCGATATTACAAAAAAAAATTGTTTTTCAAAAGATTCCTCATGTCTAAAACGTTGCGCAGAATTAATTCTCATAATACAAGTCATAAAAATTCGCAATCAAAATGAAGTGGTTTCTACACTATTAGAGTTCATACATAGGACAATCTTGGCACAATGTGTCAGATTTCGACCCAAAGGAACAAAAGCTTTCTATTGGGTAATAGATTAAAAATAGTTTTCGACCTTTTGTTAACGGCTGGTACAACCGTAGGCAAAGGGTTAAATTCTATAAACATTATTTCTGACGCTAGTTATTTTAATTTCGATTCAGATTGAATAGGATTAATGGTTCTATTAAACAGTATTTACAGTAATATTAAACCGTGTTAACATTAAAGAGTGTTTTTTAAGCCTCTAGTAATGAGTAGTTTTAAAAAACCATGTGAAGAATGAAATCAGTATAAATTGTTTCATTTCGAAATCAATATTAAACTAATTCTATCAAAAGAGTCTCCAACACTATTTACGAATGGAAGCTTAATTACCACCCTAGCTCCCTTTTCAACGAAAAAAAAAGGAAAGTTTTTTTTAAGTTATGAAAGCCTTCTCTAACGAAGTTAAACAATGCTCTTTTTATGTCAGTACATTTATTATTATTTTATGTTTTGTAAATAAAGAACGATTCACTCAGGTTTCTCGACTAGCTCTACAGTTTGTAACAATTCCTAATGTCATTCATGTTCATTCGCTCAACCAAATGCATTGTCCAGGGGGGGGGGCTGTCCACAAATAAAAAAGGGAATACTATTTGCCTTTTCTTCACCCTATCTCAAAACATAAAGCGCAACATTAGAATTCAAATTTTATTTTTAAATTTATTTTAATGACGTTTGTGAGTGTTTCGCTCGAAATTTTAATAGAAATAAATGAATGTCACTTGTATAAAAGAACAATCGAAAATGACAGTATCTTGAGATATTTTTCTTTCAATTTTATCTTTACTTTCGTGAATAAATTAAATTTAAAAAATATATATATATTAGTTTTTAAGTGTGATTTTACTTACCGTGTTCTGCTTATCTGAATAAAATCAAGAGCATTTCTTAAAGATAAATAAATATTTAAGATGTTATATATATGAAAATAACTCCCAATGAAAATGAAATTGTTTAACTGACAATCACTTGTAACACATCCAAAAATAAAAAGAGATATTTTCAATTTTTAACGAATGAAAACCCTTCATCAGTATCGATATTTTTAATACAAAATAAAACAAAATTAATACAAAATAAAATCAACTACAATGTCTGTAACAGATTTTTTTAAGAAAATAAATAAATAAACGAGAAAAATATATTCGATCAGATGTTTTTTTTTTTAAACCAAAATGTTCTTGTTGCTATCTATCCTGTTACACTTTTCCCTTTACGGACCCATCAAAATGCATTAAAATTTTAACTGATGACGTCACTTTCGGATAGCTAAAATCAGAGTCCATCGAAATTCCGACTCTAGCTACAGTGTGGCTCGCCTCCGCCACTTAAGTTCACACTGGGTAACGTTAAATGAGTAATACTTCCCAGGTGAAGTCCAAAAAAATACTTTCAATTGTTTCTCGACGCCATAGTGTCGATGCAGGTCCTGATCACCCCCTATACTATCCCCCCCCCACTACTTTCGAATGTGACGCACACACTACACGTTTCCTTCAACAAACTCATAATAATTTCCTTTCTTTTTTAGCCAACTTAAAAGAAAATTTCATTTTTTAAATGTATTTATTTGCATATTTAATGAATAGGGGGTAGTTTTGAAATGCATTATGAGGAATACTGACGCATATTATTTAGAATTATAATGCATTTATACGATCGTTATTTTCTTCATTTATGAGATAGTTGTCCTCTATTGAAATGGAGAAAATTTGTTCTCATTCGAAGTCATTTTGTCAATAATTCAAATAATAATTGAACTCATTCAGATAAAATGGATGCGATAAAATAATACAACTTATGCGCATTTTTCTACGCACTCCACCTACCTGTCATCGAATTCTGTTTTCAATGGTAATCCTATTCCTCAGGATAAAAAAGAAAAGAAATAATTTCACTACCACACACACAGATGATCTCTTTCGGGATGTTCTCAGTTCAGGAAGCCAAGTGGATCTGCCTCTTTCAACTGAGCAACACCATTGCACCCAACTATTTGCGTCATCTCTCCCTTCTTCTGCATCTCATTCGGGCAAGACGGACAACAAAAAAAGAAGAGAATCAGCTGAGATGGAAATTATACTCGCGGAAGAAAACTTTAAAAATGTAAGATTTGAAAGAGGATTTTTCACTTTTACTAAAAGCGTCGCTGCTCGTGGTTGTATCATCCATGGTCACATTTGTCGGAACATCGTGGGGATTCATTCTTAGCGGATACTATTCATCGCGTTATACTCGCGCAATATACTTTATATACTTAATATTTTTAACTATATTTTTAGCTTTTATGTAATGTACTAGAGGGCTGACAGACGCTCATCCTACCCCCATGATTTTTATTTTATTTTATAATCGTCGTTGAACAGCTCAACTACGTAGCCTTATCCTTTTGAACCCATTCCAGAAGACGAGGGAACTCCCGTATCGAGTAGTGTGAGAAATTTCCATTGTTTCAATTTGATGGCATGTTGTGAAAAATGGGCATTGCCTGAAATATCTTCGCCACACATTTTAGTTTAAACTACTCCATTCAAAAGAGAATTCTTTTAAATGACCTAAAGATCTAACAATTCCAAAGAAAAGCAGTCGTTAAATCTGCGCGAGTTATTAATCCTTATCGCCAACAGAAAGAGTTATTTTAATGGCCAACTCCAAATTCACATTTTATAACCGTCATTGAACAACGGACTTATTTTTTTGTCGGTTCGCGATTACCCATGTCCAACTACATAGCTTCGTCATTTTGAACCCAATCCAGAAGACAAGGGAACCCCTGTATCAAGTACTGTGAGAAATTTGCCTTTGTGGAGAACTTTTTGATGTAACTCACCCGCATTTGCGTTACATGGAGAGGAAGACAACAAGAACCTCCCACGATAAGCCTAAGGGACTCCAACCCATGATCTGTCTACCACTGAGGATATTTCACGTCAGCAATGCGGTCGGTGCGAGCCGGATGTGGAATTCGTGACGACCAGCCATCACTGGAATTCGAACCAGGTTCATCTTATTGGAAGGCGAACGCGTACGTACTAAAAAGAAGGTCTAAATATTTCCCTAATAGTTTGTTGCGTCATCATATTTTTGAAATAACAATTAAGAGTATATTTTTATAACAAGTTCAAAACTGTAATTTAATGCTTACCAAACGAGCGAATGTATATTTTAAATACAGTTTTTGCATTGATCACTTTGTGTCCAGCAAGTTAAACCTTTCAACGAATCTCTTTAATCGCAATTTAGATTAATGAAATTTGCAACGAAAAATGGGAAGATTACACACCGATTTAAATAACTTTATCTGAACGTGAGTTATTCTAATATTAATAAAAACAATCCTCACAAACTCTTAATTTGGAAAAGTTAAAAATGTAATAATAACATTACTGTAAATACCTCTTATTTTGGGATATAAAAATATTTATAGGAAAACAATACCTTCATGACTTATATCAATTTCATGCTGCTGACAACCAAACCATAAGGAAATTAATGTGGGAGAACTGAATCCTTCCATGTGATTTTCTGACCATTAAAAATGCAATAACAACAAACTGCGACACCATCATTAGATTTTTATATAGATTTCAATACTTAGGGCACTAAACTTTTAATACATCTACAAACCAATCTGCTACATTAAAAAATATCCATATTGACGCAACCACTTGATGTCATTTTCAGTCATTCAAACATGCCTCTAAAATGTCACTTGCCTGGTTCTTCTACTAAGCTCCTCAATTGTGTCATTATATGTTTGTCGTATACACTACTCTACAGTAATGGAAGAGACACTTTCAGTTTTCGACATTTTTTTAAAATTCTCTGGAAACACTTAAAGGGTTATTTTGTAACTTTTGAGATGTTTAGTTCATGCAATTTTTCCAATGAAATATAAAGCTTTCAGTGGTTTGAGGGACCTAAAATGAATTACGAAAGAAAACAAATATTTTTGAACACCCTATACCAGAAAATCAAGCAATATACTTGTGACTTTTAACAATTACTATAGTTGTTATTTGTATTAAGTTTCATAAACCTAGAGTAAATATTTAAGGAAATATGCTCACTTTTATAAAAAAAAAAATTTGCCTTACGTTTTATTCATTATAACTTCATAGATACTCAATGGAACTAAATAAAACATTTCGTGCAATTTAAGATTAATTAAAAAATTGCCGATTTAATATTTTAAAAAATTTGTCGAAAACTGCGCCAGTTATAAGTATTTAAGCTAGCTCTTTTCTTCTGCGCATTCTCTGAAAAAATTTTCGAAAGTTTTTTCAAAATTTTGTACTGAATCGTATTTGTCAACTAATAAAAAAAAATTTGACTTGAATATCTTAAAAGTTCCTAAAGTTTAATTAAATTTTTTAAGTAGTGTTTGTACTTCAAGGGGGGGAAAGGTCAAAACGAAAAAAGGGTTTCTCACAAATTGTATCATAAGACAAAATTAATAAGATATGACCTTTCAATAATCATCCAAAAACTAAATTTGATTGAACACGCAAATACTTTAATTGTGGTGATCTCCTTCCACACTGGATTAATGAATCTTGTTTAATGCAATAACCCTTAATAGTTTTTAGCTTCTTTTTAAACAAACTTTTAAGATATTCAAATAAAGATTTTATCTTTAAGATACAATTCCCTTCAAAATTACAAAAAAAACATTTTTTTTTCTTTCTGCGTGTGAGAAATATAAAAGAACTAGCTTAAATACTCATATCTTACGCAGTTTTTAACAATTATCTTTTTTTAAATTTCAAAACAATTTTAATTTTAAATTTCTTCAAAAAATTTCTTCCATTCAAATTGAATTTTTCATTGAAAGTTTCTTCCAAAATTCCATTGAATATTTACGAAGTTATAGCAAAAAGGTGTAAGACGAAAAAATTATTTTTCTCATAAAAATGTCCATATTTTCATATATATTTATTCCGTGTCATTACTACCACTTTTTTGTTTTATTTTCTGTCATAGGGTGTTCAAAAATATTTATTTTCTTTTGTAATTTATTGTCGTACTTCCAAACTTCTGAAAGCTTTCAATATTACTGCTAAATATAAAAAAAGTATGAACTAAACATCTCTAAAGTTACAAAATAATCCTTTAAGTATTTCTTGAGAAATTTAAAAATTAAAGGGGGGCTATACATATACATATTATTATTTTTCTAATTTAGATAATCGTCTATATTATTATTAATATCAAAATGTTAGTTGATAAAGCTACAATAATTGTATTCAATATGAAACCAAATTGTTCAATGTTTTTGTGAACGTTTTAAAGAAGAAACAAACAATGATGAATGAAAGAAAAAAGCGAAGCATTCCAGGTGTTTGCTCAAATCTAACTCTTGGAAATCCTTTGGGTTGCAGAATGTGAATAATATTAGTAGGTAGACATTTATAAACTGTCATCATTAAGAATTGCATCATTGTTTTGTTTTCCATCTATAATTTCCTTCGTGCCAAAAATAAAATCTTTTTTTGAAAGAGGAAGGATGCGTTTGCTATTCATAGAGAGGTTCTATTTTTAAGCGCTCAAATGAGGTCACCTCTTTTCACATTTCCTGCTTTCAATTATACAACTTCTTAATAACCTTCAACCTCCTAGCCTTGTCATTTTGAACCCGATCCAGAAGACAAGGAAACCCCTGGAACAATCATTGGCATCCACTAGCCTCCGTGACATTCTTTTGGATGGAACAAACCCACATTGGAACGAAAAACAAGTAAACCTCTTATGGTTAGCCTGACATTATGACAAGTCCTTGATGGATCTATCACTGACGATGTTTTACGACAGCTCTGTGATCGGCACGAGTCGGGAGCGGAATTTGTCGGTGGGATTCGATCCCAGTTTACCTCATTAGAAGGCAAGCTCCCCTGAGCCACCATTTCTCAATTATCTTTCACAAGACCCTCCATTGTGAAGATTGGGCTTACCCACTCAACAATAGCCTCTCTGCTGTTTGTGGAAAAAGCAAAACTGACAGTGCCCTCGAGGTCCCTTAATGGATAGACAAATAATCATTACAAGAATTGAAAAGCACAGAAAAATGAAACGCCTACTTATCTGCTAGACCCCTTCTCTTTTGACAGAAAGGCTGCTGTGTGTTTGTAGTGCTGTCTTGCAAACACACATTTCTTTTATTTTATTGCTTCTTTAGTCCCGCAGTGGACTGATCGTTAAGACATGGTTCCCAGCAGATCAAGCATCAATGGCTGCTGTCAGTGAGCGGGTGGGTGACGACTTGGATCAGTCTGCTTAGGGACCGAGGGTGTGCGGTATGGGTCCTCGTTAAACTGTGCTACTAATAAAGTGCTCTACTTCGCGTGCAGGTCGTCGGGCTACCGAAGCGAGGGGGCCATCCCCTCTGCAGAGGATCAAAATTGTGATGGCATGTCTTCGGATCATCCTCAAGGATGTATCCCAGACAGTCGCCCATAGCCCATTGTGCAGCTCTAGTGCGACGTAAATGAACAAATCAATTATTGCGTTTTATTATTTTTTTCCCCTGCTTTTATTGTTTGTTTGAATATCTAAATTTTGCAGTGTAATAATAGGAGAAAATAATAGAATATAAAAGGAAATGTCAAATTGATAGACTCATTTTCTGATATCAGCAGAAATTTGGACTTGATAAAACTTCCTACAAAAGACCGTCGGTCGAAAAAGTGCCTGCTACTACTATGTTTAACAAATTGCGTTTGAGAAACTACATAGAGCATGCGCAAGACTGAGGTGGCTCAGAGGATGGAGCACAGCCCTCGCCACCTCACGTGGTGTCCCAGGTTCGAATTCCACTGATGGTGTGTCGATATTAATTTTATTCGCAGCTTGTTCAGACCTCAGCGCTATTGTGTAAAATAGTCTCAGTGATAGAAGGCTAACCATGTAACGCATAGCTTTATTAGTTCCCTCTTCTTCTGGGTTGGGTTCAATATATAGTTACTAGAGCCAGGGTGGCTCCGAGAAAAGAACGTTCTTCTTCCAACGAAGTGAAGA